CCTACTCTACAAAGCAAATTCCAGGACAGCCAAGGCTACACAGAGAAACTCTGTCTCGAAAAATGAAAAAATAAAATAAATAAATAAATAAAAATAAATAAAAAATAAAAAGCAGGAGGAACTGATGAGGTAGCTCAGAAGTAAAAGTACTTGATGTGAAGCCTACTGACTTGAGTTTAATTCCAGGAACCCATTACACACACTAAATACATTAACAAATGAATAAATAAAGTTAAAACATTCACAAAATAAAAAGGAAACCCTGACCTTTTATCAGAATTAAGATTTGTTTTGTTTTGTTTTTTATTCCAGCATAATCTTCACTTTGGCGATTTTGTGGTGTGTGTATGTATTTGAGTGTATATGCATGCAGCATATGCATGTGTTTGGGTGTATATGCATGCAGCATATGCATGTGTTTGGGTGTATATGCATGCAGCATATGCATGTGTTTGGGTGTATGTGCATGCAGCATATGCATGTGTTTGGGTGTATATGCATGCAGCATGTGTATGTGTTTGGGTGTATATGCTTGCAGCATGTGCATGTGTTTGGGTGTATGTGCATGCAGCATGTGCATGTGTTTGGGTGTATGTGCATGCAGCATGTGCATGTGTTTGGGTGTATATGCATGCAGCATGTGCATGTGTTTGGGTGTATGTGCATGCAGCATGTGCATGTCTTTGGGTGTATATGCATGCAGCATATGCATGTGTTTGGGTGTATATGCACCATGAGTATTTGGAAGTCAAGAGTAATCTTCCAGTGTCCTTTCTCAGGTGCTTCTTAGTCAACATTCTGTTATTGTGAAGAGACACCATGGCCATTGCTACAGATTAATAATTAGTCTTCTATGATAGTCAAATTTACAGTCATGTTAAGTTTTCTAGGTATACTAGATATAATTCAATTAGGTAAGTAATCTTCAAACACTTCAAAGACCTACAGATTATGGCATTTAAAATGTTTTAAGAACTGTAACTTTCTGGACATTGAGACAGGTCTGCTCCTGGCAGTACCAATCTGCTTCAGAGAAGATAACGGGCATTGAAAAAACTCATGGAGTTTGCTTTCTTTGTGGCAAAAGTTAGCCACTTCAAAAAAGTGTCCTTGCATTGACTGCTTGATGATATGTTGTATAAACTAGACATGCAGGACCTGTAGGAAGGTGACCACTGAACTTTACAAGACAAGATGTTCCTTCAGGTTCCTGCTTCGCAGAGGAGACTGCCAGACATTCTACAGGACACAGGAAAAAGTGACTGAGAGACTAGGCCTATGAGCTGAAGATGCCCCAACATTGCAGAGGAACTTTGGATGACTGTCCAGGCAGGCAGCTGTCTCTGTCATTTCCAAAAGTTTGGAAGTTGCTTACAAAGCATTTCCTGTTTACTTAGGTAATATTGTATCCTTCTGAGGCCTTTGATGTAGTTGAAGACTAGACAGTTATAATTATGATTTTCCCTGGTTATGATAAGAGATAAGTTAGATATGAAACCTTGGACTCACAAATATAGGCTAAATAAAATATGTTCTTTAAATTTGCCAAATATAAATGGACTGGATATTGTAACTTTGATTCTTGCTTGATAACTTCTATTATATGTAATTTTACTATGTTAAAGTTAAACCCTTCCTTTTTGATTAGACAGAAAAGGGGAGGTGCTGTGGAATGTTCTGTATGCTGTGAATGTGTTGCTCTGATTGGTTGATAAATAAAAAGCTGATTGGCCAGTAGCCAGGTAGAAAGTATAGGCAGGATAAACAACAAGGAGAATTCTGGGAAGAGGAAGGACTGAGTCAGGAGATGCCAGCCTGCTGTCCAGGGAACAGCATGTAATGGCACACAGGGAAAGCCACAGAGCACATGGCAACATACAGGTGAACAGAAATGGGCTGAGTTTAAGTTAAGAGTTAGTCAGTAGTTAGCCTGAGCTAATGGCCAAGCAGTTTTAATTAATACAAGCCTCTGTGTGTTTACTTGGGTCTGAGTGGCTGCAGACTGGGTGGGACACAGGAAAACTTTCAACTGCAGACCATGGCATGTTGTTGCTTGTTTTGTACCTTTTGGGGGGCCAGCCACCCAGCTCCCAAATAAATCATACACAGAGGCTTATATTTAATTATAAATGACCAGCCTTAGCTTGACTTGTTTCTAGTCAGCTTTTTTTTTTTAACTTAAATTAGTCCATCTACCTTTTGTCTCTGGGATTTTATCTTTTTCTATTTCTGTATATCTTTCTTTCTCCATTGCTGGTTGTGTGCCTGGGTGGCTGGCCCCTTGAGTCCTCCTTCTTCTCTGATTATTTTCTCCCTCCACATTTCTCCTTCTATTTATTCTCTCTGCCTGCCAGCCCTGCCTATCCTTTCTCCTGCTTTGCTATTGGCCATTCAGTTATTAGACCATCAGGTGTTTTAGACAGGCAAAGTAATACAGCTTCACAGAGTTAAACAAATGCAACATAAACAAAAATAACACATCTTAAAATTATATTCTACAACAATGGCAATATTGTTGTTTTTTACTCTTTTGGGTGGGCCTGTCACCCAGCTCCCAAATAAATCACCCACAGAGGCTTATTCTTAATTATGAATGCCCAGCTTTAGCTTGGCTTAGTTTCTTGCCAGCTTTTCTTAACTTTAAATTATCCCATCTACATTTTGCCTCTGGGCTTTTCCCATTCTCTTACTTCGGTAAATCTTACTCTTACTCCATGGCTGGGTGCTGTGGGATGTTCTGTATGCTGTGAATGTGTTGCTCTGATTGGTTGATAAATGAAAAGCTGATTGGCCAGTAGCCAGGCAAGAAGTATAGGCAGGATAAACAGACAAGGAGAATTCTGAGAAGAGGAAGGCTGAGAGAGGAGATGCCAGTGCCAGCCTGCTGTCCAGGAAGCAACATGTAATGGCATACAGGGAAAGCCATGGAACACATGGCAACATATAGATCAACAGAAATGGGCTGAGTTTAAGTGTAAGAGCTAGTCAGTGGTAGGCCTGAGCTAATGGCTGAGCAGTTTTAATTAACATAAGCTTCTGTGTGTTTACTTGGGTCTGAGCAGCTGAGGACCAGGCGGGCCGCAGGAAAACTTCAGCTACAGTTGTCTGTATAGCTGAGTGGCTGGCCCCTAGGTCCTCTTCCTTCTCCGACTAGTTCTTCTCTCACTCCGCCATCTCTTTTCTTCTTCCAATATTCTCTCTACCTGCCAGCCCTGCCTATGTCTCTCTCCTACCTCACTATTGTCTGTTCAGCTCTTTATTAGACCATCAGGTGTTTTAGACAGGCACAGTAACACAGCTTCACAGATTTAAACAAATGCAACATAAACAAAAGTAACACACCTTAAAATAATATTCTACTGCATGGCAACTCTTTAAAGAAAACATTTAATTGGGGCTGGCTTACAGGTTCAGAGATTTAGTCCATTCTCATCATGGCAGGAAGCATGGTGGCATGCAGGCAGACATGGTGCTGGAGAGGTAGTTGAGAGTTCTGCATCCTGATGTGAGTCAGAGTGGGAGACACTGGGGTTGGCATGGGCTTTTGTAACCTCAAGGCCCATCCCCAGTGGCACATTTCCTCCAACAAGGCCATACCTTTTATTCCTTTCATATAGTGCCACTCCTTGGTGACTAAGCATTCAAATATATGAGTCTACAGGGAAGGGAGGGCATTCTTATCTAAACCACCACTAGTGCTCTCCACCTTGCTTTTTGAGACAAGGTCTTTCATTGACCTGAAGCTCATCAGTTAGCTTGTCTGGCTTGCCAAGGAGACCAGGGATCTGCCTATCCCTGTGTCCTCAACCGTGGGATTGCAATCATACTCTCCATGCCCAGCCTTTTTTTTTTTTTTCTCTTAATGTGGTTTGTGGTGATTTGAATAAAAGTGGTCCCTATAGCCAGGTGATGGTGGTGCATCCCTTTAATCCCAGCACTCAAGAGTCAGAGGCAGGCGGATCTCTGAGTTTGAGGCCATCCTGGTCTACAGAATGAGTTCCAGGACAGACAGCCAGGACTGTTGCATAAAGAAACTCTGTCTTGGGTTGGACATTTAGCTCAATGGTAGAGCACTTGTGCTGTGGGATGTTCTGTATGGCAAATGTGTTGCTGATTAGTTAATAAATAAAACACTGATTGGCCATTGGCTAGGCAGGAAGTGTAGGCGGGACAAGGAGGAGAATAAAGCTGGGAAGTGGAAGGCTGAGTAAGAGAGACACTGCCAGCCGCCATGATGACAAACAGCATGTGAAGATGCCGGTAAGCCACAAGCCATGTGGCAAGGTATAGATTAATAGAAATGGATTAATTTAAGCTGTAAGAACAGTTAGCAAGAAGCCTGCCACAGCCATACAGTTTGTAAGCAATATAAGTCTCTGTGTTTACTTGGCTGGGTCTGACAGCTGTGGGACTGGCGGGTAACAGAGATTTGTCCTGACTGTGGGCCAGGCAGAAAAACTCTAGCTACACACTTGCCTAGCAAGCACAAGGCCATGGGTTCAGTCCTCAGCTCCAAAAAAATAAAGAAACTCTGTCTTAAAAAACAAAACAAGCCTGATGGTGATGGCACATGCCTTTAATCACAGCTCGGGAGGCAGAGCCAGGTGGATCTCTGTGAGTTTGAAGCCAGCCTGTTCTACAGAGCGAGATCCAGGACAGGCTCCAAAACTACGCAGAGAAACCCAACCAAACAGACAAAAAACAAACAAACAAAACCAAAATAGGAAGTGGCACTACTGGGAGGGGCAGCCTTGTTGGAGTGGGTGTGGCCTTGTTGGAGGAAGTGTGTCACTGAGGGGTAGACTCTGAATTTCAGAAGCTCAAGCCAGGCCCAGTGTCTCACTGTCTCTTCCTGCTGCCTGCATCTCAAGATGTAGAACTGCCGGCTACTTCTCCAGCACCATGTCTGCCTGCATGCTGCCATGCTTCCCACCATGGCGATAATAGACTAAACCTCTGAATCTGTAAGCCAGCCCCAATGAAATGTTTCCTTTATAAGGGTGCTCACTTCAGCAGCACATGTTCTAAAATCGAAACGACACAGAGAAGATTAGCATGGCCCCTCCACAAGGATGACACACAGATTCATGAAGCGTTCCATATTTTTAAAGTAAAATAAGAAAGAAAAAAAAAAAGAGTCGCTGTGGGAGCCAGAGAAGCAGATCTCCAGTCAAGAGCACTGGCTGCTCTTCCAGAGGACCCAGGTTCAATTCCCAGCACCCACACAGACAGCTCACACCTGTCTGTAACTCCAGTTCCAGAGAATCCGACCCTCTCACACAGACATACATGCAAGCAGAACACCAATAAAATAAATCATTTTTTAAAAAGTTGCTTAGCCAGGCAGTGGTGGCGCACTCCTTTAATCCCAATACTTGGGAAGCAGAGGCAGGTGAATCTCTATGAGTTCCAGGACAGCCAGAGCTGTTACAGAGAAACCCTGTCTCGAAAACAAACAAACAAACAAACAAACAAAACAAAAAACAAAAACAAGAGTTGCCTTGGTCATGGTGTCTCTTCACAGCAATAAAATCCTAAAACATGGCTTTAGGAATCAAACTCATACTCATTCTTCTACAGTAAACACTTTACCAACTGAGCTATCTTCCCAACACTTCCCCCAACTCCTCTTTTTTTTTTTTTTTTTTTTTTAAACTGAGTCTCACAATGTAGCACAAGCTGGCCTGGAGCTTACTACGTAGCCTACACGAACCTAGAGCTCATCTTCCTGTCTTTGCCTTGCAAGTGCTGGGATTATAGATATGAGCCACCACTCCTAGCTCTCAGTTGGATTTTCTTGTAGATTAAGAGTCTTTCCAGCCGCCAGGCGGTGGCGGCGCACGCCTTTGATCCCAGCACTTGGGAGGCAGAGCCAGGCGGATCTCTGTGAGTTAAGGTCACCCTGCTCTACAGAGTGAGTTCCAGGACAGGCTCCAAAGCTACACAGAGAAACACTGTCCGAAAAACAAAAACAAACAAACAAACAAAGAGTCTCTCCAGCAAGGCACATACAGTGTTTTCTTCTTGGTATAGTCGGACACCGGACAGCCAGGTGCATTTCCTCACAGACAGAACAGAGGATGACTTCAGCTGTTTACTTGTTTCTGTGCTTGTGAGTGTACTTCCCTATTTCATATCTTAATAAATACCTGATACCTTTAAACACACTCTTGTGGATTTCTCAAATTACTGTGTATGTATCTTTCTGTGTATGGCTCTGACACAGGACAATCCTGCCAGTGACCCAAATGCTTTCTGCCTACACCGAGGGTAACAAGAGATCCTAAGACTATAGAAGAAAGAATGGAAGTTATAACTAAGAACGACTTCCTGGTCTGGCATAGGAGTGCACATTTATGATCTCAGCACTTAGGAAGTGGAGGCAGGGGGATTAGAAATTTAAGACCAGTCTCAGGTACATACCAAGTTGGAGGCTATTCTAAGTTCCATGAGATTTTTGTCTCAAAAAAACAAAAAGAAAAATAGCAAAGAAGGGACTTTTTTGTCAAGGCACAGTTAACATTTAGTTAAAGGGGTGGGTGGTAGGTGGGAAAGAGGCTCAGGCGTGGTGATGCATGCCTACTATCCTAGTACTCCAGAGGACCGAGGCTGGAGGACCGTCTGTCATGTGAGTTCCAGGCCAGTCTGAGCTAGTGTAAGATTGTCCAAACAAACAAACAACAATAAAAGGGGAAGGATCTTAGCCCAGAAATGATGTCTCTGTATAAAGAAGAAACCCCAATGGATGCATCAAATCACTGCATCTAAGGCTCAGGGAACATCATGGAAGAGAGGCAGAAAGACTGTAAGATCCAAAGGCCCAGGAAGCCTGCTGTGAGGCAGTCTCCTAGAAATGGCTGCATAAACGAGGCTGGAACAGTGATCCTGGACATGTGGAAGGGGAAGTTTTCATGGCCTCCCTCCCCTAGACAAAAAACTATAGCCAACTAGTGACTACTGGGAGATGAGAACTAGCCTCTCCCAGAGATGAGCCCCCTTATTGGTTGTCCAATGCAGAGTGGTCAGCCTTGAAACTGTACACACACCAAAACCAAACATAGATTTAGCAGGTTGTAGTTATATATATTCGTGGACACACATACATATATACATAGATATATGTGTGTATGTGTGTGTGTATATATACACGTAATAATAATAAGAGAAAAAGAGGCTATCAACTTGAAAGTGATGGGAACATGGGAGGGGCATAAGGGAGGGTAGCTTGGAGGGGCTGGAAGAAAGAAAGGGGGGGAGAAAATTATATAATTCCCATTTCTCTCTCTCTCTCTCCTTTTTTTTTTGTTTTTTTTTTTTTTTTGAGACAGGGTTTCTCTGTGTATCTTTGTGCCTTTCCTGGAACTCACTCTGTAGCCCAGGTTGGCCTCAAACTCACAGAGATCCGCCGCCTCTGCCTCCCTAGTGCTGGGATTAAAAGCCTGTGCCACCACTGCCCGACACTATTTCTTTTTTAAGTATGTGCTTAATTGAAATGGGAATTATAGCTGGGTGGTGATAGCTGCCACACACCTTTAATCCCAGCACTAGGGAGGCAGAGGCAGGTGGCTCTCTGTGAGTTCGAGGCCAGCCTGGGCTATAGAGTGAGTTCCAGGAAAGGGGCAAAGCTACACAGGGAAACCTTGTCTCAAAAAACAAAACAAACAAACAAAAAGAAGTAGCATACTTAAAAGCAGCATACATTGCTTCTAAAATAATATCATGATGCTTGAAGTGTAGTATCCTATTGGGATTCTGGTAAACTGATTATTTTAACTCTTCAGGTTAGATATTTTATATATTTTATATATATTTCAATAATATACATTATTATTTAACAGGTTATAGCTTAACTGAAAGATTCCTTCTAGAATTAAAACTATGTGATTTGTAGATGGTATTTATGATAAAAATTAATTTCAAAGTAATTCACTAGAGACAAATCATTATTTATCAAAATTCATCAGAAATCATTAGTAAGTATATCTATTTATTTATCAAATATTAGTAAGCATATCTATTTATCAAAAATCCTTAGTAACTATATCTCAAGCGGCATATTAAAGGTCATCGTGATGATTAGTATTGCCAATTTGAGAGTCTCTAGGATCACCTGGGAGTGGGGCCTTTAGGCAAACCTGTGGGATTTTCTTGATTACCTTAATTTACCTGGGAAACCCCATCTTAAATGTGGATGTGCCATTCCCTGGACAGGTTGTGGGCTGTATAGGATGGAGAAAGTGAGCTGAGTGTTAGCATGTGTTCATGATTGCTCCTGCTCCCGGTGAGGTGAAAGGTGACCGGCTGCCTCACGCTCACGCCTCTGTGACTTCTTCGTTATGACAGACTGTGACCTGAGACTGTGGGCCAAAATGAACCCTCGCTCTCCTAAGCTGCTTTTACCCGGGCGTTTATCACAGCCACAGGAAATGAAGCCGACACCATCGTTTAAGCTAATAATATGGCTCTTCATAGTGAGAATTTTCTTTATATCACAAAATCGTATTTTAATTTGTTTTAATGATAGCAAACCCTGGAAGTGCATATATGAAATATATTGAAATTTGTTATCTTTTTCTGAGAGAAAGGGGTTGGGGGAGACAGAAAGAAGTAAGAAATTCCTTGGCTCAAGGCTGACCTGGGGAAGTGTCTGTTCTGGTAGGCTGGAAAGTTCAGCTTCAGAATCCACAAGCCAGCTGGGAGTGAAGAGTGGCTACTGGTGCTTAAGAAGATCTTGAGTTTAAGGCTCCAGCTGGTCGGTGGTGGTGCATGCCTTTAACCCCAGCACTTGGGAGGCATAGCCAGGCTGATCTCTGAGTTCAAGGCCAGCCTGGTCCAGGACAGGCACCAAAACTACACGGAGAAACCCTGTCTCGAAAAACCAAACCAAAAAAAAAAAAAAAAAAAAAAAAACTTCCAAAAACCCAGCTAACCAACCAAAAACAACAACCAGATTTGTTAAGTACACGCCACATACGAAGCAGCTTCTCCACACCTACTATATTATTTCAATAATTTTGAACCTAAGCCAGGTTTGATGGTGCACACCTTTGATCCCAGGAGGCAGATGCAGGTGGATCTCTGTGAGCTGAGTTGAAAGTCATCCTGGTCTACTTAGAGAGTTCTAGGCTAGCCAAGGCTACATAGTGAAACCCTGTCTCAAAAAAAAAAAAAAATTAAACTAAAAAGACTCAGGGAAGCCGGGCGGTGGTGGCGCACGCCTTTAATCCCAGCACTCGGGAGGCAGAGCCAGGCAGATCTCTGTGAGTTTGAGGCCAGCCTGGGCTACCAAGTGAGTCCCAGGAAAGGCACAAAGCTACACAGAGAAACCCTGTCTCAAAAAAACCAAAAAAAAAAAAAATGACTCAGGGAAATCTGTGGAAGAGGAGCAGATTCTAAGAGCCAGTGGGGATGGAAGACACCAAGGAAATAAGACCTTCTAGACACAACAGGACTGGTGCACATATGAATTCACAGGCTATGACAGCATGCCCAGGGCCTGCACGGGTCTAAGCCAGATAGGTCCCAGTGCTGAGAGGGAGAGTGGACACAAGCCCCATCCCTAAGCTGGAAGCTATCTCCAACTGGGAACTGCTTGCAAAGAAAAAACTAGTTTTCTGCAATGAGCTCTCACTGGGTGCATAAACCAAACTTAAGGGCAGGTCCCACGCCCAGCAGTGGTTGGCCAACATAAAATGAACTTGATGGTATTTTTGGAGGATTTTGTTATTGTTGTTTCAAAATGCTATGTCTGGATAACGAAAAAATAATCTTGCAGATCTTTTGCTTATTTATTATGGTTTCTGATTTTGTTTTTATAGGTTTTCTGTGTGTGTGAATGCGTGTGTCTCTGTCTGCATGTGTTTCTTGTGTTTTTTCTTTGAATCTTTTTTTTTCTGTTGTTTGTTTTGTCCTATTCTGGTTTCTCTGTTTTTATTTCTATTATTATTATGGTTGTTATTGTCATTATTTGTTTTCTAATGAGCGAGAGGAAGAAAGGGTGTAGATTTGCAGGGATTGGGAAGGTGGGGAGGATCTGAGAGGAGTTGGGGGAGGGGAAACTGTAATCAGACTATGTTGTACGAAAGAAAGTCTATTTCCTTTTTCTTT